TTAAACTTGAACCACTGGCTGTCTCCCCGCTATAAAAAAATAGCATGATTTTCAGTGGCAATGACCATCAGCAGAGAGAGACATTTAAAGTACATACAGGGATCCTCTTTCCTATACCCTGAGCTTTATTTCTTTGTGCATTTGCTGAATGCCACACCAAACACCCAGCCTCTTGTTTTATTCAGAAGGATTCCTCATCCAAACACAGAATTGATTTCTTTTTCATAACCCTCGAGGTTGGTATTTTATTGCCATGAATTATTTGGGATTAGCAATGGAGTATGGATCACAGTGTCTAGAGTCCTTCACAGGGGGTGTATGCTCTGCACTGTTATTTGACTCTCAAAAGCATTGTTCTCACTTTATTAAAATATATTTATTATAATATAAACAGAGTCCCAAGTCATCTACTGAATCTTCCCCCCATTTCCTGGCAGCTGCATATATATTTGCTCTATAATTTTGTGCAAGTGCAGGACTCACAGTCCTACCGAAATTAATGTGTGTTGTTCTGATGTCCTCCTAGAAACTTCAGGTATCGGGTGATACATCAAATATTTAGTTTCCCTCTTTCATTGCTATACGCTGCAATCTCACGTAGTTCTCACTTCCTCTTCCCCCCACAATAAATTTGTTTATTGACATAAATTATTATTTTGCTTAAGCACAACTTGAGTGTTTGGCCCTTAGCTTCTTTGAGAGCAAAGGTGATGTCCAGAGCAGATGCAATGCTCAGGTGCTTCCTCAGCTTATTTGAGGCATCAGTACAGAAAGAATTTGACTGCGTAACTCATGACTAAAGCTGTGTTTAAGGAAGGAAGGAAGGACAGAGGGAGGTTTGTTCAGCACAAGCAAGAAGAAAATCTGCAGAATCATCATCATAACTGCCCTGCAAACTTACATTTCTCACTAGTCCCATCTAGCCTGATCCAAAGGCCATCGGATTTTGGATTTGGACCAACATGCAGATGCCTTCGTCTGTCCGAATCCCATGTAGAATAAAATGTTGGCTTTCTCTATTGGCAGAGGATTTGGCAATAGGAAGAAGTTCAGTCCAAACCCTTTCTCTATGTGTGGCTGTTCCAAGAGCTCCCAGTTCACAAGGGCTCAACCTTGACCCTACATCCTCCTGCTCCTACTCCATGATCATCTGGCTTTCCATCAGCATGACTCTAACAAGCAACTGACGTAAGACAGTCATTGAGCAGCTGAAGCAAGATGTTAAAAAAGAGGATCTCCTCTCTGCTTTGATGGCCAGTTATTAACTCATCAGCACGGCAGTGCTGGGAAGGTTGTAGGTGGTTCTATAACCCATCATGCCAAAATGTGAAAAGCAGGTAATTTTTATTTCATTATGCTCTTGTTCTGCACAGTCTTCAATATTGTTAGAGTGCTGTATGAACTTTAACCAATTAATGAAACATGAACTGCTTATTAGGTGACCCAAAAGGTCTCTCCCCTATGATCTGTGAATAACAAATCAAAATCAACATGCTGCTGGTGAATGCATATGCATGAAATCTCTTAAGACATCATGGCTAAAACAGCTAATAATAAGCCTCATAATGTTCTTGAGAAAGCAAAACAGGAAGGGAAAAGAAGACAGCAAAAATAAAACACTTTTCTGCAAAACACTGCCTATGCAAGTTAGCATCAGATAAATGATTAATAGGTCACCATCATGAATTATATTTACATCTGATCTGCATTACTGCATTGCTGTGCTGAAGTGTCCAACAAGACTCATATCGACTAGTTCTTCCTTCATCAAAATCTGCCTTCATATAAAATTCACCATGATTTATAAGTTTTCATTCAGTGCTGTACATTTGAATGTAACACTGCCAAACTTTCTACTGTGTTCACCTGCTGTTTGGAGAGCAGATATACTTCAAGATGAAAACAAACTAAAGACGGTTGCAGAAAGCTTATTATTATGAAAGAATGGAAAATAATAGACTTGTGCATATGGTCAGCCTTCTGCTACCATCATGTCACTGCATGTTATCATTTTCTGTTACTGAAAAGTAGTCTACACACCTTGTATTTCCTTAATTGTGGATTTATTAACTCTTTCACACACACCCCCCTAGAATGATTCTTTTCCTTTTATTACCTATAAAATATTAGGGGCCGTTTTTTTTAGTATCTGCTGAATAGAAAATGACTTGGGTTTAGAATCTGGTATTTCAGGTGTATCTGCTTTCTTTCATACATACACATTTTAAATTCGGATGGGCCCACATCCAAGCTCAGTCCAATCCTCATTTTCCAGAAGGTGAATTTTAGCTCCCCCATCATTTGAATGTTAATTGTGCAGCATTACAATAAAACCACACATGCTCCTTGAAGGCATGAAAAACTCCCTCCTGACCCTTAGAAAAATCTGCCAGTTATTCCTAAATATAAAGCTAGCTAATAACAAGTTCTGTAAGTAATTACACAGCACAGAGCACACAGAGCCTTCCTCTTACTGCACTAATGCTATATGCTTCAAGGAAACACTGAGGAATGGCAAATTTGTAGTATTAAATAAGCCATTTTCAGGCAAGAGCTTAAGTAATGGGGGCCAATAGAGAAGATGAAATAAGGAAATATTCAATAGGAATACAGAAAAGGAGCTTCACTTTGTAACAGATTTTATCCTTTCTGTATACTTCTTTGCCTCATTCTCCACTCTGAAATTGTATGACTTCCAGTTCTTCTCACCAAGTAGCCCCTTGCTCCTAAACATTTAGTTTTGGTCTGTCCAATGACTGCAGATTTATGCATTCGAACTCTTTCACTTCCTAACATTCTATAAATAAGCCCATCTGGTCTAATCTCTCCTTGTGTTCAAGTCCCTTCTCTCCCCAGCCTAACTCATACAAATCCCAATTAGATAATGCTTTCTTTTAAATAAACTAGACTTTTCAAAACTTGATCTAATGCCTAAGCTCTTTATGTCCCTCAAAAGAAGTGTCTAACAGCTGCTCACTGTTACTACACACTAGATCAAGTATTCTGAGATGGATCTATCACAGAGGTCAACTCCCTCCTGATACTACATTAACTAATCTGCTGCTATTTTAAACTTCTCTTAGCTTTATTACTTCTACTCTACTGCACCTCTTGGCATAGACATATTGCCTTAAATAACCCATTTACTCTATCAATCAAGATCATTCTGTGAACAACTTCATCCTTCTAAATTTTCACCATTCTACCTATTTCAGCATCATCTGATAACATACAATAGCCAATATAAATAATGAAGAAAATGTTAACACAAAGCCAACCCTGTAACTACCTGCTTTTGGCCAGAAAAATAAATTTGTCTCTTTTCTTCATTGTTTGCTATGTAAGAAACAAGGGGATACTCTTGATCATATCTTTACTCCTGCAAGCCTTTCTCATCTGGGACTTCATATTGACTTTGCCACAACTACTCACATAACTGAAAGGATTACTCTCATCGTTTGATGCTTCCAGGATCAGGTCCCAGTTCTTTACCTGTCTTAATAATTTATCACCTAAACCATATATGCAGAATGTGTAGAATAATACATCCTGTGAAACTTTGTTAAAAGCCTCTGAAAATCCCAATACGTCTGCTGCTTCCCTCCTATCTAGATCAATATTTATTTAATTTAAAAAAGGAATCCAATTTGCTTGACATGATTTACTTTCCAAAAATCCATGCCGACTCGCATTATGATGCTGCACCCTTATTAAACTGTAGCCTTATGCTTCTAGGAAATGTGTTTTTGAGACTGCATTTATAGGCAGTGGGATCTTCTGAGGGGCTGCAATGACCAACACAGGGAATTCAGCACGTTTATTGCCAAACTGGTCTGTTATTTTTCCAGCTCAAACTGTTTTCCTTTAAAACACCAAACTGACATTGACCCTTCAAATGATTTGATGTAAGCTCTTAGTTCCCAGTGTATTCACATTGCAAATCATGGCCATGTCTACCAGGAGTTGTCCTGTGCCCAGCATTATACAATCCCTACACTGAAACAGCCCTCAACACCCAGGGAGTTCAGACTATGGCAGCGGTCCCAGCGTTGATCTTATTGTTGGGTCTCAGTTAGAAGCCAGGCCAGATCAGCAGAAGCAGACAATTAAAATGTCAACAGCATATAGCTATATGATGTAACAAGGAGCTGCAGGGTTTCCTTCTGTTTTGTGCTCATCTCCCAAATAATGCTTTACATTGTTCAAGTAACCTTAGGCAGGCTGTTCCTTCCACAGTGACGTGAAGCCCCTCTATCCACCCCACTGTTCTGCTCCCACACTTCACCTGGAGACTGATGCTCAAATACAGTGATGTGCTACTGTCTCCATGTAATGTCTCTTGTACTCTTAGCCCTATCTGCTCAGATAATGGGTGGTGCTCTCTTTAGCAACCAGACATACCAACAGAGTTTTCCACTTCGACACTCATTTTCTCCTAAGGCTTCAGCTCCCAATTCTGCTGCTATTATTGCATTCATATCATGGCTGACTGGGGTAAGTTCTGTCCAGTACCGAGAGAGAGGGCAGAACATTCTCTGTTTTCTCACTCTCTCTAATCTGGCAGTTCCCAAAGCATTTCCAGAATCTTATCCTACCAATAAGCATTTTCCCAGCTATTTGTCTAATGAAGTTTCCATTTTTATTCTTCCTCCCCTCTGTTTCCTCTTACCATGCATTAATAATGCACTGAACTGAGCTCTTACTGGTTTCCTAGAGGACAATTTGTATAACTACAATAGTCAGAATGGGCTGGAGTATCTTAGTAGGTACTTGCCAGACTGGCATTCATCAGGACTGTGAAACAGAACAAAATCCCATTGCAGCAATGGGACATTTTAACCCTTTTGTGACAGTATGGCTAAATGTCCCTTCAACCATATGTGTAATGCCAGTAGCTGGGCACAGACACACAAACCTACTCAATTCCAACTACGACATAAATACAGAATTTGCTCAGGCAGTATCAATCTGTTTGTGGTATTTCTCATCAAGTACCCTACCTTGAACTCCATAGGGGTGTACTTCTCATTCTTGGGGGTTGTGTTGCCCTTGTAATGAAGGTGGTTAGGAGTGGTGGGGTGGATAACGGTTGACTCCTGGGACTGCCTCTGACAGCGCTGGCAGTACACGTAAATCACAAAGGTTAAGAGGCTAGAGCCGAAGAAACAGGAGACCCCAGTGGCAATCAGATGGATAAGACTAAAACCTGCAAAAGAAATTACAAGAGATGCTATTTTTAAAGAACAGCCTTTTTCCCTCCCACGACATGACCACAGGTACAAATCAGAGCTATGACATCTCAGGATCAGTATTAATAAACTGTTGAAGACAGAGTCTTACATTCTAACATAAACTGACATAATCTCCCTGCAAATCGGTCTCCCCACCGCAGTTCTGCCTTGTGCAGCTTAACAGGTTCATGCATTGTTTTCTCAAAGCTCCCTCCCTGTCTCTCCTCTCTCCCCTCTATTGATATTGAAACTAAACATTATGTTAAGCTGACAGCTAAAGAAATGAGCCGTACAAACAATGCACATTAATGGATTCCAAAGCATGTGCATGTCATGGGAATAAGGGGATAAAAATGCTCAGTGTTTCTCTGAAGGGGGAGGAAAGGAAGGAAAATCCCTTTTTGTCGGCTGCCCAAAATGCCTATGGCTCTGTGTGTAGGGTGGGGGAGATACACATTCCTCCCCCATGTAATCCAAGTGTGCTCAGCATTCTTGCTTATTCACATGGCGGCATTGCTTTGGCCATGTCTGCACTACCTCTGAGGTGTATTGTACAGTGAAATAGGGGTCCTCAGGGTAATGTGAAAGATAAGGTGGACAAAAGAAAAGGGTGAACTGCTTGAAAAGCACTTCTTCGCTGGCTTTTGCCACAAAGTGCAAAGATAGGAAGCCAGTTGCAGGCAGGTGCCAGTAGGGTAGCTACAGTGCAAATATTTCAAACAGAAAAGCCCTTGGACTATAAAAGCCTCCTACAGAGATCTCTCCACATAGGATTGCAGCAGCACCCTCAAAGGCCAGCGCTGACCTCTGGAAGGAGCTGTAGCTGTGCATCCCGTGCGCTGGGAGGTACCTAACTGCCACTCTGGCTGGTGAGAGGAAGACAAAGCCAAACAGTACTCCTTCCTCATTCCTCCCTCACCTCAGAAAGTCTCAAATCCCATGGTAAAACCAACCATCAACAGATCTCCACTAACAACAGAACTAACACTAGCGACCTTTACATCCACCAAGTTAATAAAGCAACCAGTGGCTATCTTGGGTGGCAAAACTTTATGACCCTGTTTTCTTTTGATGTGTGCAGGCGGGAACCTACAGAAAAAGGTTCAGCAATGATGAGTCCAAATGCTACTGCCTTTCCTCTGCCTTTGCTCTATCGTCTTTCAGAAATGCCAGTGGCCCCAGTGCCTGGGGGGACCCCTGGCAGCTGACCCCCCAGGGCAGCTGTCCCAGGGGTCAGCCATATCAGCTCAGTGGCAACTGAAGCAGTAAAATTCCCATAATACTTAAAAAGCCAATTCATTTGGACAGACTGCTGTGTTGACTTGACTGTGTGCAGAGAAAGAGAAGGGACTACTCAGAGAGTGGCTTTACGAGGCTCATTCTTAGTCTGATCACGGTGTGCATTTTTTGTGCCATCTTACATTTTAACTGATACACTTTTCAAATAGAGAATGCTGCCCATTAGTCTATGACACTCCTCTAATCTTCAGTTAAAAAGTATCCTCCTGAGTTAAAAAAGAATAAAACCGATAGAGTTCTGCAGCAATGTACTTCAATCATAATGAACATACAGAATTTATTAGACTGATGAGCTACATTTATTTTTTAAACCACACTATAAAATTCTATTGCAAGATTACCACTTTCTATTGTGTTTTGGACAGTGGTCCAAAATATTGGCAGAAAATGATAATTCTCTACTAAATGTTACAAGACTTTTCCAATGAGACATTTCCTTTCTAATAACCTCCACCTGCGTCACATCACTCATGAGAGCTAAAACACTGAATATGCAACTGTGCTCAGTAAAGCCACATGACACTGTGCCACATTCTCCTCTTGCCCAGCTTAGCTTATATTGCAGCAAACATTTCATTTCATTGCTACATTTGCAAGTCACTACAGTAGGAAATCCTTTCTAAAACATAACACTCTCTTACATTTCACTCTCATATTTGAAAGACACATCTGATTTTTCAGGCGACTTTTAGCCATATTTTAGGGAGAAAAACCTGAAATTATTTTGTTTGCAGCATGTGAGTCCCTGAAGTAGGAAGCTTTCCAGTTCATCATTTTGAAACACATATTTTCTGAGATGCATCAACAGAATGTCTGTTGATTGACTTCTTTGACAAATATTGTAGAACACTACGTAATATATATTAGCTATGGTAAAATAAAGATTGCAACAGCAAATACAATGGTGGTAAAAGAAGGAAATGTGGTTATAGCACTTAAGAGGATAGTACAAGCTGTAGCAAGGAGTCCTGGATGTGAAGCAGACACCTTGCACCTTCTGAGGGAGAAGAAGTGATGCAGAAAGCCAACTGTTACATTGCGGGTACTGAAATTCCATTGGTTGCCCCATAGTTGTTGTGGTTTAAGCCCAGCTGGTAACTTGGAACCACGCAGCCGCTCGCTCACTGCCCGCCTTCTTCCTCCCCCTGCTCCCAGAGGGATGGGGAGGAGAATCGGAGGAATGTAACTCCCACGGGCTGAGATAACAGCAGTCCAGTAACTAAGGTATAATACAAACCACTACTGCTACCAATAATAATGATAAGAGGAATAACAAGGGAAAAGGACACAACCGCTCACCACCCGCCGACCGATACCCAGCCCGACCCGAGCAGCGATCTGGGCCTTCCGGGTAACTCCCCCCAGTTTCTACACTGGGCATGACGTGCTGTGGTATGGAATACCCCTTTGGCCAGTTTGGGTCAGGTGTCCTGTCTCTGCTTCCTCCCGGCTTCCCCTCCTCCCTGGCAGAGCATGAGACTGAGAAAGTCCTTGGTCGGAGTAAACATTACTGGGCAACAACTAAAAACATCGGTGTTATCAATCAGCGTTGTTCCCAGGCTGAAAGTCAAAAACACAGCACTGCACCAGCTACTAAGAAGGAGAAAAATGACTGATGTAGCTGAACCCAGGACAGCAGCACACAAAGCAGGAGGCCACATTTTTGTGCCACAGGTGGTATGCCTTTTTTTGCCATGATTTCTGAAGGGAGAAGAGATTTTGGTAGCCTGCAGATCATCTAGATATCAGGAAAGCAGCGATGTGATGCTAGCAGGAATTGACATGGTCATTAGTGTGAAAATAGCATTTTAAAATGTCAAAGGAACCTGCCGTTTTCTTCTGCATTTTTACTATAGGGGCTCTTAGGGCAGTGGAAAAATCACACTAATGACTGCATCTTTCCAAGTTACATGCAGAAAGGAGACACAAGTTCTATGAGAAGTGAGGACTTGAATGAAAAAAAGAGCTTGGAGGACAAGTATAAACTCTAATTTCAACCTATATCAGCAAAGGATCTGCCCAAGAGGCCCTGTTCACTGAAGTCTTTATCCGTTATTTAAAAACACCTGCTTCCAAACAGCTGGAGGTCTTACAGTGGTGGAATGAGGAATATCCCTTCCTTTCTCCAGAACCATTTACCCTGTGGGTAGAGAGAGACAACCAAGGTGCTCCCTGGTAATTAATGATCCTCAGTGGTCAATCCAAACCCCAAAATAAATAAAAATCTTGGAACTGAGAAGTGGACATGCAATACATTCCTCCAGTCTGACTCAGACTGCAAGACTCCAGTGGAATTAAGGCTATCAGTGAGATATGAGCTGTACAGATTAATGGTTTGGTTGATACTCCACAGAGAGAAAAGAAGCCAGGTTAAGATAAAAATAAGGTATATAGTTAGTGGTACCCTACCTCCACAGTTCGTGCTTTCATCAATGCTGGAGGCTGGCAGGATCACTAAACAAAGAGAAGATTGGAGAAAGTTGTCATTTTGCCATCTCTTTACTTCTTCAAGTAATTAAACCCCCTGTGCTCCAGACACGAGAAGGTGCTCGTGTGCTCTGTAGCAAGCTAAGAGTTTCTCTAAATTGAATGGTAAACTCAGAGTGAAATACATGCAACAAAAATTCCCCAAAGACCTGGCAATTCCAGTACTGCTACCTGATGACTCTTTGGCTTCTGCAAATTAGGGGAAAGAAGATAGCTGAGAAAACCATGAAAATGAAGAATACCATTGCCTAGTGATCTCAGATTTTTAAGCCAGGGCACAGCAATCCAGAAAAGAATACATGGAAAGGGTTTATTCATTCTAGACCCATATCAGGTATTTGCCCAAGAGATTAAATTTCCACAAAACACATGGAGGAAGATGTTGATGACCATCTGTCTATCAACAGTACTGCTCTGTAAAACCCTGGATTAATCTTCCCACTTCACACAGCAACTTTCTCCAACTGCCTCACCTAATTTCTTCGCTCTTTTAGGATGCTTCTTTTCCTACCTGAACTCAAGGACCTTCTGTTGCCCATATCCATACTGACTACAAAGTTAATTTTTATAATCCAGCCTGAGATGAAGTATGCAAGGTTAAAAGCTTCAATACAGGTGAAGCCATACTAGTTACTTATTACAGATCTAGGTAATTCTCTTTTAAATAAATGTTAAGCTGCCTTAAAGGAGTGGCAGTTAATCTGTGCCTGCCACAAGGGAGTTTACAACATGTTTGTATATTTGTTTGTTTTTCTAGAAGCATTCAAACCCAATTTTTAATAGAGAAAATCTCAGCCTAATTTGACTGTCTTGGGCATGAGTTGCTCTCCTGTATTGGCCCACCCTCTCCCTCCTCTATGACACTGTACATACCAGGAATTTCATTATACAGGCAATCCTGGTACTGTGTGCTGTTTCCGACGCACTGAGAAGAATCTGGGCTGTGTACCTCGCAGTAACGACTGCGGTATTGGATGCCCTCTTCATTACACAGGCTCCATTCTGACCACTCTGACCAGCCACCTGAAATCCAAGATCAGAAAAAACACACAGACAACATCACCAAGAAGGAAAAGGATCCTTTGTTGATATCAAACTTATCTCATGATGAAGGATGTCTAGATCTTTGCCTAGGCCTCTCTCACACACCTAATACAGAGGCCTTTGTTGGATTTCATTTTCTGAATACAAATAACAGTGCAAGCCTCATATCCTACTTGTCAGGTTGTAGTTTTCTTAACATGTACTGTACCAACCCTTGGTGGAGCACTGCACAGCACGCAGCTTTTTTAAAAGCTCCTGTATCAGCTCTCTGGTTAAAGACATACAAGGAGCTGGATGGGGCAACACTGCATGAGGATCTACAAGTACTGGGGTGGCCTCCCAGGGATACCTCAATCAGCCATAACAAATTACAACACTTAAAAGTTTTGCTGATGTTCCTAAGGGCAGGAGTCAGCTTGCACTGGATCAGAAATATACAAAGGTGGTTCAAAACCAGCACAGATCTAAACCCTGTCCTCTGAGATCTAGCACATACTCATCTGCCTGCCTGTGTAAGAAAAAGGAAAGATTGTTTCTTCAGCAACTGTACAGATTGAAGACTCCTTTTGTTTGTCTTATAAGCTTCCACATTGAAAAACTAAGCTCCTGCTTTTCCAATTACTTTAAATGGATCAGCTGCTAACAAGATCTTGCCTGTCTGGCACCTGAATGCCAGGGAATGGGTTAGTGAACAAGTAAAGAGAAAGGTGATGCATTGCAGTTTAACACAGAGATGTCTCCTTTTTCCCAATAGACATTCACTGAATGGGCAGAAAAGTTTCTAACTGGTGGTGTTTCTGATTTACTTTTTAAACATTTTGCAGTTGTGCCATACTCCCACCACCACCCAAGCCAGCTGGAGCAAGGACAAGAACTGGCTACCTTCACACGGGTGTGTGTTGCAAAGAGCCTCCTCGGTATGCAGACCAATGCAGATATCCTCTCCACTAGACGGAGCTGGATTGGTGCAAGTCCGTGTGCGTTGGTAGTGTCCTCCTCCACAGGTGGCTGAGCAGTGAGACCAAGGAGTCCAGCAAGACCATGAGCCTTTCACTGAAGGACAATGGAAAGCAAGGAGAAAGAGGTAGATGCTGCTGGTTACTTCTCTCATGGTGACAAAGCTGCAGAGCCCCAGTATCCCACCTTCCAGATCCACCCTGCCCAGGCTAGCTATCAGTTTCTTGCACCCCAGGACATTTGGGCCTGACAACAAGAACTTTGTATTGAGAGAGGATACAAATGTGCTGCAATCTAAGGATGCAAAATGAAGTCTATTCACAAAAGGACTCTGCATCATACAGTGCCAAAATAGAAACTATTCTTTAGGGTAGTCACTGAAATAATCTGTTCTATTCTGTTCTACACCTTTTTATAAAACAGCATTGTTATCATTATATTGTCTCTTAATGCTTCATCTACAGCAACAGCAGATTTACTTGGGAAAAAAAGTGCTGTATAACCTAAGTGGAGCTTGTATGGCACTTTTCTGTGGGGGCCCCGAGTCCTCAAGTTCCAGCCTTCAGGAAACAGAAACTCAGAGGGTTTATTTATTGCCCCTGCTCAGATCGGGTTGAACCAGATGACCTTTAAAGGTCCCTTCCAACCCAAACCATTTCATGATTCTATGATCTCAGCACAACCCCATAACAGGTTCATAATAAAACTAGAGAGGGACTTAAGATCCCTGATTCCCACCCTGCTTCTTGTCAGGCTACTGGACTGCCCAATTTGCACGTCCACGTGCCATTAATTCAGGAGATAATAACCTGATGACTTGGTGCAAGATAAACCCAGTATTTGTGTATACACATTGAGTGAGGCAGGGAAGGAGGGAGACACAGAGAAATAGTAATCATGCACTCAGAACAGATTGTAAAACATCATAGTGTTCAAGGGAAGAAAACAGCACAGAAAGGCACAGACATTAGTGAAAAGCCACTGAGAGCTTCCAGAATAGTACTAATAGCTGCCTTTATAGTGCTACAGTTATTTTCTTTTTATAGGCCATAGAGTGCAATATTTGACACTCCTACTATGCTCCTGTTGCACATTCTGGTAGTATCTGCATTGGAATTTTATCATTGTATTGAATTTTAGAAACATAATAATACTATTATAATATAGCATTTTCAAGTGTAGGCCACAAACTATATTGCCAGAGGTAGATAATTGCAAGAACTGCTAAGAGGCAAGGTAATTCATGTAAGATCACTTAAATTTAGTTTAGATAGCTATTACAAAGCAAGGAGAAAGACAAGTGAGAGAGAATACAGTAGTCAATGGTCTATTATTACTATTCTGGACCAGGAGTGCAACATAAACATGAGGACAAACTTGAAAACCAGGAAACCAGGCAAGAATACTCCCTGCTGGCTGTGCAGGAAATGGTAACTGATGTCAAGAGTAGATGCCCATCGCAAGAACAATACGTAAGCAGGAGAGGGGAAGAAACAAGTGTTCACAAGAAGAACCGCCACATCAAGCATCTGTACACAGTATTAAGCCACATTTATTAAGTCTGTCTCCTCATCAAGGAGCAAATGCACTGTGATGCCCCCCACTGGATGGAGCATCGAACCTTCTTGAAGGAAAACATTGCTATACAAGCCACAATACTATTTCCTTTAGAGTTTGTGGCTGTGTTGCCCTCTGAGCTGAGGTGAAACATCAGTCAGCACTAAAGATCACATACATGGGTCATTACAGTAGCTTTAAAAAAATTAAAGGAAAAATCCCCCAAATTAAAAAATAGAAAAGAAGAAAAAAAAGAGAAAAAAAGCAGCTTGGAAATACCAGTTTGTTGTTTGGGTTTGTTTTGGTTTTTTTTTTTTTGGTGGATCTACCATTAAGATGGTGAAGAACACCTCTGAATTTCATGCAGGAAGATGATCATGGTTACCTGGGCAGGGATGCGGATTGCAGTCTTGGTACTCCATCGCTGACCCCACACAGGGCAAGCCACCATTTTTAGGTTCAGGGTTTGTGCATGTTCTCTTCCTGATCCTAAAGCCCAGCTCACAGTCCCTGGAACAGGAAGACCAGGCACCCCAAAAGGACCAGCCCCCATTGATAATCCGTGCAGAGGTCTTACCAGTCTTGAGAAGGCCATCGACAAGAGCTTCAAGGAAAACAAACAAGACACCATGACATCACAAACTGATCGGTTGTTGGGCTTTTAAAAAGGGTTTCAGCTCATGAATAAAATCAGGATTTATATGCCCTGGGGAAGAATTTCTGCTGAAAGCCCTTAGGGGAAGTTTTGTTCCACAGGGTTACAGCTAAGCTAGACACAAAACCAAATCCGTACACACACAGAGTCTACTGATAACCCTGATAAATGACCTTTCCGGGCAGCAAACTGTGGCAGTCAAAGCTGTGTTCTCAGGACACTGTCTTGCATCACAGCAGTACTGAAGGGAATAATCCCAGAGGCAATGCACAAGGGGACCTCAAGATAGATGCACTGTACTATAAAATGGCTCTTCTCGTCTTCTCTATGCCCTCATTACTTGCCTGTTGTCTTTGGGGCAGCCTGGCAGTAGCAAAAACAAACCTATACTCTGCCATAGGCACAGAGGTTACAATGGTATTGATCTCTAAGCCACAGGGCTCTCTCTCCATCCCTGCCGTTCTGCAGTAACACTAGCTGCACATGTTGGGATTTACATAGACACAATCAGATTCTTATTGTTTTAAGAGGACTCCCATTCCACCAGCATCTCGGCTTGCTCTACAGTCCCCCAGAGCTGGCAAGACGTACAGTCAGTATCACACACTGCTGAGCCATCATTGGGGCAGAATCGACTCTCGGTTTTCTTCCTCCCAAATTGCAGCTCGTGGGGATCAGACAGCTGGGCACGACATGTGTAGCGGAAGCGCTGCTCCTGGCGGGCACCATTCTGGGTGATATTGACAGGCATCCAAGGGGTCCAGGGTGTGTTTCTGCGCACCTCCGGGCAGCTCTCTGGGTTGCATGTCTTATATTCCTGCCAAGAAGGAAAACCATTCTCTCTTTACTTATTAAATAGCAGCTGCCCAACTGACATAGATTTATTTACACTCCCGAAAAAAAGGGGATACCCTCTGGATCTACAACAACCTCCATCCACCTTATCTGACCTTGCAGACACAAGCCAGTGATGGGCACAGCACACAGGCTGGATGTGGTTCTCGGCAACCTGACTTAGATGAAGATGTTCCTGCTCATTGCAGAGGAGGAGGACTACATTACCTTTGAAGGTCCCTTCCAACCCATACTATTCTACAATTCTATGAGTATGGATGCAGTGGTAGTGACCACTAATAGCTTCAGGTAACCCTTGAGGGTGAACTATGTCTGCTATTTTTATCTTTCCCTCAGATTTGTGTTTCTTCAACCATCCTGATATCTGTTGGAGGGACGGGACGAAATGGCCCAGCACAAGCAATCCAGGAGGTTCCTTGATTGAGTGGAAGACAACTTCCTCTGGCAAGTAATAGAGAAGCTGACAAGGAGAAGTGATGTGCCATGCTTGACCTTGTGCTCACGAAGAGGCAGGGGCTGGTTGGGAATGTGACGCTCCAGGGCAGCCTTGGCTGTAGCGACCATGAGATGGTCGAGTTTGAGAT